TACTGTTCGGTTTCTGGCACAAACCGATCGTTTCGTGTCTTAGGACATCAATGTGTCGTCACGAGCCGCAGGGTTTAATTTGGATTTGTCTGTGCATGTTTTTTTTACTCTCATAGATTTTGTTACCATTGCCATGCATTATAAGACTGATAGACTGCAACGGTTAAAGCTAAAAATCATCATATGTGTTCTACTGAAGAAACAAAGCCACCTACATCTTGGATGCCCTGGGGGTAAGCAGATAAACATCAAATTTTCATTTTTGGATGAACTATCCCTTTAATGACTTTAATTGAACATTAGTCTACAGTGCTATCCCCATTTACGGTCAGAGTAGTTACAAGTAAAGAGTTTGTAACAAAAAAAAAAAAAATTTGTTTGATGTTACAGAGTTACTGTTTCAATGCATCTGGCTGATTCTTAAATTAGGGACACTTCTGACTACATGACATTTTGTAAAAGGACACTTCTATAGTATATTTTTAATTTAATTCCAAACATTTATCACAAGTCATGGAATAAAGATCTGATCATGGCCTTGATGTGGATTTTGGAATAATATGATATGGTGTAGATTTTAATATCGAGGGTAATGATGTATGATAGTAATGACATTTTTCTCTTTTTTGACAAAAAGCTAAGCCTTTCACCAGCTAATTTAACATGTTAGCTAGCAGTAAAATTATGTTTAAAAATTAATTAAAGAAATAACACAAAATTGATCGTTTATAAATTAAGATGTCAAATACATCACTGATCATTTTGGTAATGATGTCTACTAAACCTACTTTAAGAATTTTAATCTTGCCATCTCTAAATTAATTACATTTATAATATTCAAATCTGTCATTCTGCTGTTCCAGCAAAATTATGCCACCCGATCACTTCTCATTTTCATCATAAATATATATAAAAATAAGAACACCTTTTTTATAATATATAAAACTATATATAGTTCACAAGTGAAAAGTTAAATTTCTCTGAATTTCCATGATTTTAACACTTTAAAAAAAAATAAATTCATCATTAAGGGAAAGTTAATATTTCTAAGTTAATAATAAGTTATTGTTGTTATTATTATTATTATTATTAAGTGGGCAAGTCCAAAATTCTGGCATATTTGTATCCTTTCAACACTAAAAATAGGTAAAAAGTTGTTTTTATATATAAGTAGCCTAATTAGAAAGACAATATAAAAGTTTAAAGCTTTTATAATCTATACTTAACAAAACATATGATTAAATGAGTTCTTTAAAATCAATTTAGAGGTCAGAACACTTCTCCTAATTGAAGAATCACTCAGTTATATTTAATTAATATAGAGTATTCACAATGAATCATAATAACATCTGCCACTGTAAAGTGTGAAAGTGTTCAATAAAGTTACCTGTGGTGCTGCAGGATATGAATAGCCAAACGGAGTAAATGACATGATGAGAGTCCAGCCCAGAGGAGGCTGCAGTCCCGCTGCGGGTCATCAGCTCATCACCAAAATCTGCCATTAACTGGAGATAAACGTCCCGTTCTTGTTTCTGTTCCTCTCTTATACAACCAACAATACAAATGGCAAAAAAGTGCAGTATGACACAGATTCAGCGTGGTGCAGCGTTGTAGTTGAAGTTGATAAAAATCATAACAAACGTTGGCTCAGTTGCACGTTGTTTTAAACGCCGGGGACGCTGACGTCACAGCGTCAGATTTAAAGGTCCAGATAACAAACGCGAATTGTCGCGAATCACGCAAAAGTTGTTGTTCACAGAGCGGAACACTTTCTATAGCCGCTGTGTAACTTCAGAGTCAGACGATGCGCTTGTGTCTTCTTGAGGAGCCCGCGGGGTCTCGCTCACATTAACGAGGACGTGTTCAGTTTCTCTGCCCGCCAGCAGCCAATCACAGATCTGACTCCAGAGCACAGACAGCTCGATCGCGCATGATTGATGACCGCCCAGAAACGATTACCATAATTGCCTTTCTATGTAGTTATCAAACACTTTTGTACCATTAAATAACACTGAATTGGTTAAAAAAATCTCTTGAATTATAAAACCTACATAAAAAAAAAAATCACACAGTCTTAGATCGATATCTATAACAAAAACAAAAAACAAGGCCATAGTGCAATGCTGTGTAAAATACGGCTTACATCAATAATAACAGATTAGAAAACAAATTATATTAATACCACTTTAGAAAAAAAAATATATTATTTCACTCATAGATCAAAATATCTTTTTAACAGCATTATAATATATAAAATATATTTTATATATTGTAACAAGGACACTGTAAAATGAAGTGTCACCAAACAATGTAAAATATGTTTTGTCTGGTTACCTTAGAAATATTAATTCTGACTGAATCAATCAGACAAAAAAATAAAAATAAAAATAAGGGTGAGATCATATAATTCCTTACTGGACAGCTTGGTGGAGGTCTGTCCTCAGGGATGTGTTTGTTCTCTTTTGGTAAAGATCATCTTCATTTAAGAAGTCTTTTTAAAGTCAAATCAAAAAGTGACACTGTGAAGACAGTTGCAGAAGAGTAATATTTTGGTCCTTTATAGATATGTTTGGACATCAATCAATCCACATTCAGTACCTTAAATGTGTCTCTCAGCCACCTCTGGACTCCCTCTTTATTGTGGCTGAGAGGTTTGGCCTGCCAGAGTTCATTTTATATGTATAATGCATGAGGGCACTTGACACTTTGTTCCTGAGGTCCAGAAGTCTTTTCTTTAGAGATTGAAACACTGATAGACATCCCCAGTTTGAAAGCACCGTACCCACCTAATTAATTGTTCGGACTCACAACACATGTAACATGATTGATTACAATGTTGCTAGGTGTAGTACAGATACTACAACTCAAGTGTAGTATCTGTTCTTATCAGTTTAAAATTTTATGGGGAAGTCGTGGCCTAATGGTTAGAGAGTCGGACTATAAAAATATAGGCCTATTATATATATATATATATATATAATATATAACATTTAAAAACAGGTGCTCAACTAAATGTAGAGGAGGTTCAGTTCAAAAACTGCAACGTTTACGCTACAAACATAAAATAAACTTTATTCCCTCATTATCAACATCACATCATGCCAGCAACAACAAAGTAAGATTAACCTCCAACCTAACCAACAACACCATTTAGAAAACAAATTATATTAATACCACTTTAGAAAAAAAAATATATTATTTCACTCATAGATCAAAATATCTTTTTAACAGCATTATAATATATAAAATATATTTTATATATTATAAATATATATTATAATATATAAAATATATATATTATAATATATAATATATACATTTTTTCTCTGTGTGTGTGTGTGTGTGTGTGTGTGTGTGTGTGTGTGTGTGTGTGTAA